ATTAAGAGTTTGGAAGCCGCTAGAGGGTTAGTAAACTCGAAAATTTTATTTACTTTATTCTTGTTCTATTTTATTTACTTTATTCTTGTTCTATTTTATTTATTTATTTTTTTTTAAACGTTTGACATTTGCCAAGCTCTCAGCAGCAAGCTCTATTGCCTATGTCAATAATTAATTATTGAATGCGTTAAACAATATAAATAAAAAAATAATAATAATAAGATACACTTGATTAGATGAATGTATTATTATTACTTGATTGAAACCATTCTCTCCTCCATAAGAGACGTCGACTAATTTAATAAGTTTAGCTTGAAGACGCGAGTCAAACATGTCTGATTGAGATAATTCAGTCTTAAAATCAGCAGAACCGGCTAAAATAAGTCCGGTGACATTGACCTGACAAACAATTTCATATTTGATTTTATTTGTAAATATATAAAATCTACATTAAAAACAAAAAATATAAATATATATTTACTTTGTCGTTTGTAATAAAGAACTGAACTGCCAGTTCAGCGACTTTACGAACGTAGTTGTGTCGCTTTTCTTCACGAAGACGAGCAAAACGCAAAGCTGACTGACCACCTCTACCTGTTTTTTTTTTTTTGAAACATAAAAAAAAAACACGATAAATTCAGTCTTATTAAACCGTTTTACAATTTACAGCCATGGGTGTATAACAATAGATGAAAAAGAAACAGATCATACCATGTTTTTTCGGTAATTCAACTTGAAATTTATGGATGACTTCCCTGGTGTTGCCACTCAAGGTGCCGAATAAAGCACCGTTACCATCCATCACAATGAATCCGAACTTGTTATCTGATTCCAGCAATTCGGATAGAGCTTCCGTGTGAAACTTGTTATCACATAGGTAGAGAGAAGTATTAATGGCTTTAAAAGGTTCAAAATCAATGTTAACCTTTTTTTCCTTCCCTTCATCAGTAACAATAGTACCACAATAAACGACAAGTCCATTAGGTGGAACTAATGTATGTGAATTAAAATGTTACGAAATATTATGTTTAATAATTAATATAGGGAAACCAAATCATACTATGTATTTACGTACCTTTAGTGTATAATTTCAATCTTTGCTGCGTTGATGTGATAGCAGCCAACACAGATAAACGATTTACTCGAGATTTAATGTTAGAGGCAGTTCCGTATTCATCTGCCAACATTTTTGCCACACGAGAAATTTGATCCTTGGGAGCTATGGAATGTTAAATAAGATAAGTATTTAGAAATTGAAATCATGTCTGATCGGCTTTGATTTCAATAACCTACGAATGATGAGAGAGATCATAGAAGTTCCATTCCTATCACATGATAAACAAAAAGTCAGAACTTCCCCGCACTCAAACGTTTAAAAAAAAATAAATAAATAAAATAGAACAAGAATAAAGTAAATAAAATTTTCGAGTTTACTAACCCTCTAGCGGCTTCCAAACTCTTAAT